AAACTGTCTTCCATCACAACAGCGATGCTGTGGTCCAGCTTCTTAAGAGCTGCTTTACATCTACTCTCGGGCTAAGCTCCTCTCGTGCTTACAGCAACGGCAGTGTGGGTGCCCTCCTTGGTCATGGCTTTGGTTCCCATTTCTCTGGTGGGATTTCTCCTGTTGCCCCCGGAATTCTATACTTGCGTGTGCATCGATCTGTCAGAGATGTAATGTTCCTGACAGAAGAGGTGCTCTCTCTTCTAATGTATTCTGTTAGAGATATTGCCAATTGCGGATTACCCAGAGAGAGGGCGGAGAAATTGAGGAAGACCAAGCACGGGGTGAGGTTTGGACAGGTTTCTCTTGCTGCCGCAATGGCACGTGTCAGGATTGCAGCTACACTTGGGGCCACCTTAGTTTGGATATCTGGCGGATCGAGTTTAGTTCAGTCTTTTATCAAAGAAACTTTGCCTTCTTGGTTTATATCAACCCGTGGTTTGGATCCGGAAGGCAAAGAACCTGGTGGCATGGTTGCCATGTTGGGTGGTTATGCCCTTGCATACTTTGCAGTGCTTTGTGGGACATTTGCTTGGGGTGTGGACTCGGCATCACCAGCATCAAAGCGGCGACCAAAGATTCTCGGGCGGCATTTGGGATTTATTGCAAGCGCACTCGACGGGAAAATATCACTGGGTTGTGATTGGGCTATGTGGCGAGCGTATGTAGCAGGATTTGTGAGCTTGATGGTAGCATGCACGCAAAAGTGGATACTGGATGTTGATGTGGAAATATTGAAGATGCTGAGCAAGGGACTTAGACAGTGGAATGAGGAGGAATTGGCTCTGGCCCTTCTGGGACTCGGTGGCGTTGAGGCCATGGGCGCAGCAGCTGAACTAGTAGTTGAATGTGAGGTCTGAATGTTTCGAAGGCACGGAGGAGTCTGTGAGAGGAAAACTTACATGCAACGGGATGCTGTTGTCTGTTGCAGAGAAGTTTTTCTCGGTGAAAAGGCAACTAACGGACACGTATGTCTTGTATGCACTGTTAGTCTTGTATGCACTGTTTGAGAAAGCGGCCTAGGCACTAGGTGGAGGCCAAGCGCCCCAATTAGGGGCTAGGCGTTTAGGAAATCAGTGAAGTCTCTAGGCGGCGGCATAGGCGGCCCTAGGCGTTTCTATTTATTTGATTTTTTTTGGTTAAGGGTTTGAATATAATATTCTATTTGTAAAATAACTGTGGACTTTCTTTCTTGTAAAATAACTTATATAATACATTATTCATTTTATGTATTCAATCAACATTGTAGCACTTATGATTTATAAATCCATCTATTTTGCATTTATGTTCTCAAATATAAGTGTGTGTGTGTGTGTAAATACTATATTTTTTTAAGCATAACTGTATAGGTAGTAACTTATTTATATGTTTTTATTGTTATATATAAATTTAATAAAAATAAAAGAACTCGCTTAGGTCCCTGCTCGTTGTCTGATTTGTGCCTAGTGTTTTTTTAGAACTTTTTGCTTGTACGATATTCCTTGTTGAGATTTTTGGATAAATATAGCTCATTCAACTAAACTGCGCGACTCTTCTTTTGAATAATAAAGAGTTTTTGTGCTCAACATTTTGATTACTTGAAATAGTCAAATGTTTTTTTCTTCAAAAATAGAAAATAAACACTCATCTTTGAAGCAAAAAAAAAACCAAATAAATCAACTATGAGAAGAAGTGGTACATGATGACGATTTTGGAGTGTTAATAATACGACACATAAATTATTTCATCCACTTTTATCTTACTTGCGAGTTTTCTTTTGAAACTATGAAACGGAATTATAAAAAGAATTTTCTACAATACTGTTATCGGGTTGATCAAAGTTATAATCTACGAGTCATAAATGAAGAAAATTACTAAACCAAACAGACGATTAATTAGTAGCAAAAATAACTAATCACTTTTTTAATCTTAAAAAAAAAATGGAAATAAAATAAAATAAAGGGTATACATTTCACACCCTTCATGTAATTTTCAAAATGGGCCACGAGATTTTAAATATCTCACATTGCTCCTAAGATTTTGAAGTTGTATGAATTTACACCCGATGTCTAATGAATTATTTGAATACTCATGAAATTGATGACACGATGATCATGACATTGGTAATTACAATAGCATGTAAATCATATTTGCACCAAATTGATTAAAAAACTTATCAATTTAACAGACATTTAAATATTTAAAAACTATAAATTAATAAAATTTCAAAACCTTAAAAAGCACTGTGGGAAAATTGAAATCTCACTGCCTATTTTTAATATTATCTCAAATCTCTCCCCTGTCGTGAGCTTCCAACATAAAGTTGGTAAACCCAAATCCGGATCCTTGTAGAAATTTTTTTTGTAAAGATTCCGAAGATTCTGTCGGTTAGAAATTATTTTAAATATTTTTATTTAAAATTAAACACAAATAATACTTAACAAAAATTAACCGTACAATAAACGAGGAAGAGACATCATTCACGGATTTAAAAAGGATCCGCAGAGATCCTGTTGGGGTAAACACGGTCTCGCCTGGTTAAACACTCAGCAAGTGAAAACAAGAGAAAATGGAAGCGAGGGTGTTCCCGCTAACGTGCGCGGCGCTGCCACTCTCACCGACGCCATCGTCATCTTCCTCGCATGCAAGGCTCTGGCCCTCTCGGTTGAAGCCAAAACATGTTTCAGGTGCATAGCACAACCTTTTCAGCGCTCTCACATCACTTGATTTTTCAAATTTGAACTTTTTATTTATAATAAGTTTGTATGCTTTCTGGGTTTTTGATGGCAGTTTCTCTCTGATTTTTTATGCTTTTTTCTGGGCTTTTGATGGCAGTATTGAACTTGTTCTTTTCTGAATTTGTATGTTTTTTTCTGGGTTTTTGGTGGCAGTTTTGAGGAAGAGCATGAAAAAGGAAGAACCAGTACTTGAAGGTCTTCCCAAAGAGTACTACGACGATGTGAGTGTCCTTTTCCCTTTAATTTGTTCTTTAATTTGTCCAAATGGGTACTCAAATTTCAAGTTTTTCTGTAATTATATGTGTAAAGTTTTGTATTTTATTCATGTTGGAAGTGGACGTAAGCTTTTTACTTTCTGAATTAGGAATGGCAAGCTCGGCAAAGGGAGAAAACGAAGGAGCTGCATCGAAGGCGTCAAGAGGAGGACGAAGAGGAGGAAAGGAAGGTTGAAGAGTATAGGGAGATAGGCATGAGATTGAAGGATTATCCCGAAGAAGATGTCCGAAATGCTCGGAAGCTGATTTCGAGCTTTATCAGAGCTGCTGAAGAAGTGGAAGAGGTGATATCAGAAAACCCGTTGCGCTAAAATTGGTCTTAGTCTTTAGGAAGACTATCAGTTTTCACCTGTGATGGCTTGCCTTCAGTTTCTTATGTTTGCTTTATTGCATTTTGTACTTGTACTCAGACTGTAAGTTAATTGAGGTTCATGATTTATATGCAGAAAATTGAGGAAGCTGCTGAGAAAGGGGAACTGACTGAACTTGTTTTGATGGTCATATGGAATCGCCTTGACCTCGCTCGACGTGATGTAAGGTGATGAGACTATAACAATTTCCGAAAGAAACTGATTTAGAGATATAGAAATGAAGTTTTGTAACCAAAAAGTCAGTAGCTGCTGTCTACAAACTGGCCGCGGTTACTGATTGCTTTAGATCAACAAACTCAACCTAATAAGTTGCTTGGATCAGTCTAATGTTATAGATAACCTTTCACATTTTCGTCGTCGCTCTCTCTCTCTCTCTCTCTCTCTCTCTCTCCCTGTCTCTCTTGCTCTCCAGCTTATTGGTTTTGGGTATTTATGACCATTTTACAGGATGAAAAGGATGTTATTAGAAGTCTTGATTTACTATACAGAAGGGTCGAGGTACGAGCTGCTCTCATCTTTTTCTAAGTTCTAGCCATGAAATTGTTTTCATTTTAGCATTTTGGAACCCGCTGTTAACCTATTTATACTTTGATTTCATTACCGGTGGGAGAATTTAAGCTGTTGCTATTACTCAATGGTTTCATATGAGAATACCTTACAAAATTAGTTTAGATTAGCCTTGATACCCCCTAAATCCTTGTGTAAAATTTTCGTATTCTTCTTTAGGCTGAGATTCTGAAACGGGAGGCTACTCCTGCCATGAGACTGCTCAATGATCTTTTGAATATGCATGATGGCTTCGACAGTGAAGGGTGGCTGAAGGAATGCAAAAAGTGCATGATTGATACTTTCCCACGGGAGGATCCATTTAGCATTCTTGTTCCAGCAGGATTTGACATCGATAAGGTATGTTGGGAATATGCAGATTGCAGATTTATGTTGGAAGTCATGATTTGTAACTATTTATAAGTCAAGTTTATCGTTTCTGACTTCTTTATTCGGTCATCTTTCTTCTCGATCAGCATGAAGGACCACTCCGGCTACCAGTTGAAGCCGATGATGCTCTACTGAGGGTAGACTTTGTCAGGGAGGTCGATGCATTGCTACAAGAGGTTCGCGCCGAGCAAAGTGAAGTACAAAATGCACAAGGGCTAGATCCTGAAGCCATTGCAAGTAGGTTGAAGCAGCAGGAAAAGCAGCGTGCCATATGCTTGGTAGAATCGATACTAGACCTGGCCATTAATTTGCAGTGGTAGCAAAATTGTGTTCCTTGTTTTTTTTGTAGTTTTTGTAGCCTTTTCTTTTTCCTTGCTAAAAGAGTAAAGGGTTTTTCTTTACTTCAAAAGACCAAAGATTGGACACATGAACGGAAGACCTACAGATGCTCCGTTAGAAGGTTCGACTTTGAGACGGAGGGTCAGGGCAAAATGGGTAGAGGAAGAGTAGGAAGACTCGAAAAGAGACTTAAGAAAATATATAAAGTACTTAGAGCTAACGGAAAACTTGGCATAAAACTGAGCGCATGGCGTTCTAGAATTTATACAGCCGACCTCACTTAGTGAGATAAAGCTTGGTGGTTGTTTTCAAAAGATCAAAGATTATTCAATAAAAATATTACTTTATTGCTTTAAACAAAATTTACATGGAATTTACAGCAGTGACTTATGTGCTACTTTACTGCACTGCAATGTCTTATTGTCTAGGCATCCTATTAAAAGTTAACCAACAAAATAATTATATGGATTAACTAATAAAGCTACAAGCTTCTGGCTTCAAACAGAGCACAACTGTGAGACTTCATTTGGTATGCAAATAAACCCGTCATTTGTTCCGGAACTGGCTCGCCGTCAGTTGAGAAAAAACCTGGAAATGGAAGAGCCGTGTCGACCAAACGGAACCATCCCATACATTCCGGAGGCGGAGGCAGAATGACAGTCTCTGAATGATCAGCTGCACTGAAGGCAACAAATAAGTCACCCCATAAGGGGGGAGAAACATCTCCTGGTTCGTTCACTTCCTCTTCGTCTGGTTTCAGCTTCATGGCAAGGAATTTGCAGGATGGATCTTCCCATTTTGGAAAAGATTGATCACTCCCGTACCAGTCTATATTTTCTTCTTTCAAGAAGTTCCTCCTCTGAAGTAGGTCGCTCCGCCTTATCCTAAACGAACTTAAAAATGCGATGAATTGTGTGGTTTGAGTAGCAAAACCTGTTCCCAGTGCGTTCCAATCGAAAGCTTTTCTGTCACTGTATGCAGGGGAACCGCCTGTTGATTGTCCACACTCATCTCCCATGTTAAGGACAGGAACGCCGAGTGAAAGAAACAAGATAAAGAGAAAATTACGAATTTGTTTAAGTCGCCTTTCAAGTACAGCGGTTTTATCTGTAGGCCCTTCTTTCCCACAATTCCAACTCAGTTCTGAAGCTAACTCAACACCACTGAAACTAACAAGGTCCACGAGAGGAAGTCCGGAATTCCTGGAAATAAAGTTGAAAGAGAATGCTGGCCCTCGTCCATCCGAGAAGATGTCCCCGTTCCCACAAAGCCGTGTAGCAAGGTCACTAAGAAGGCCCTCACCCCTCAAAAAGTTTCTCACATCTTTAGAGAATTTTGAGTTCACTTCTGCCCATCTCTTCCAATGAGGAAGGCGAGTTTCCTTTGGTACTGAGCCATGAGGATCCCAGCAGTCTGCAATGATCTTGGTCTTCGAGAGTAGCGGATCAAAAGCAATTGCTTCGACCAAAGGCGGGCGAGATAAGTATTCACCATTAGACCCTCGCAACAGAGATGATGCATTTATAAAACAAAAGCCATCAACGTGAAACTCAGTCACCCAGTATCGAAGACTATCCAATACCATTTGTTGCACAACAGGATAGTTACAATTCAAAGCGTTTCTGGCTTTCAAATCCGCAACCCTGTTTATGTGATAATAAGATGAGATATCGATTCCTTGCAGAGCTTCACCCTCAGCGGTATGGGTGAAAACAACTTCCACTAGGACCTCCATTCCATCGGCATGAAATTTTTTCACCATGTCTTTCATAGAATTGACAGCTGATACAGGCCCTCTAGAAGGTCCAAAACAATTCATAGGTGAAAAGAAATGGATAGGGAAGTATGGACCCTTTTGCTCATCAAATGGGAAAATAGGCTCTAATAAAACTGCATTCACACCCAGGTCTTTCAAATGCTCCAACTTCTCTGTCAAACCCGAAAAGGTGCCTGCTATATTAGTTGTTAGCTTACTAGACTTATGCTCTGTAAACCGCGTCACGTTCAACCGATAAACCACAAGTTTTTCCATCGCGAAGTCAGGTCGAACGTCACCAGCCCAGTTGAAAGCAGGTTCCTCACATAGTCTTCCAAGATACTTCAACCCTGTCCCATGAGGAACAGATTTCGCAATGATCTTAGCATATGGATCCAGCAAGACATTCCCTTCATCAAATCTATAACCATAGCTCACAAAATCCCATGCACTTTCAAATGATGCATGCCAGATGTCACCTGATCGATTAACATATGGATCTAGATCGAGCTCCAACACAGGTTTTTCAGCCGTGGTCTCACCATACAAGCATAAAACTACACTTTCTGCATTTCTTGAAAAGATGGCAAAGTTCATGGAACCATCATTAGAAAAAGACAGACCCAATGGAGCGGGATCTCCTCGAGAAAAACCAACTGGGAAGCAGAAATTTGTCTTCCTATGACTTCTTATTTCCAAGTCACTTGAATCAGCATCTGCGGGGGATTTCAAAATAAACGAGAGGTAGAAGGGGATTTGTTTAGCCTCAAACTCCAATTCTAGAGTAAACCTGCCGGAAGAAGTCTCAGTGAATGGAGTTTCAAGGGTGGTGGTTCTGTCAGCTGGGGTCGAACTTCTGAAATTCGAAGGCATGAAACTAGATGCATCAGATCTATAAATTCCCCAACTCAGTACTAATAATCTATCATTACTAGACAGGTGCAATGATGAAACTTCAATATTCACAATGTATTTGGCATTCTTCATTCTAACAAAAACTTTTACCAGATCCCCAGTTTCTGTCCTAAATCGATAAGTTGATACCTTGCTTGCTTCTTCAGTTTCAGTACTGGTGTAGACTCTTTGCTCCATTGGCTCAACAGAAACTCGGGATGTAGCATACACTTTCAAGTCACGGTCCCTTAGAGGCATTTCCTTGAAGTTCTGCAGAACTTCTCCGAAAACTAGATTTCTCTCTATACCCAGTTTTACAGAACCACGCAGACCGTTATGCCTGTGTATGTTACGATTTGCAGCAGTCAGCTTAGACAATTCAGTGGTTCCACAATTCAAACAACATGAGGCCTGAATGACGATTGACAGCGGAAGAGTTGCCATCCTAGAGCGCAAACACGAAGGTCTCCTACTCAAATGTGCATACGCATTCTGTTCAAGAGACTGTAAATTACTTTTCGTTAAAAACAAACAAATTTTCCACATCTCCCTAATATATTGGATCCTAGAAAATCATCATCTCATGAACAAACTTCTTCAATCACCGGCATTCGATAAAGAAGCATATAATTTCCAATTTTTTCATGCTGCAACATACAATTGCAATGACCACACAGATAAACATCATAAACCCATCAAATCAAAGAAAGAACAGGATCCATGGGAGTTGTCACAAATGATCAAAAACTACGTGAATCAAGAAAATAAGTTGAACCCAGATTGTAATATGAGAAAATCTAAGATGGGTTGCTCATAATTCGAGTATAAACAATAAAAAAAATTCAGTTGGGTTGTTCATAATTCAAGTTTAAAAACTAAAATAGATAAAAAAAAAATCAAATGCATCAGCAGGTAAGCAACTAGACAGAAGATCATAAGCATTAACAAATTGAGAGATTTGGTGACAACAAAGAGGGAGATACGAACTTACATCATTGGACCTGCTCAGTTAGAATCAGACTGATGCAGAAACAGTAGGAGAGAGAGAGAGAGAGGCAGAGAGTTGTTGGGATTTCGTTCTCTGAAAAGTTGTCAGGATTTTATGGGCCGCACAACGCAGCAAAGCTGGTCGAGATCGAGATGGGTGAGAGTGACTTGAACTGTTCTTACGAAAATGCTCGACCGTTCGATTTTTGCTAAACTTCAAACTTTGTTAAGATTAATAATATTTTTAAGGGGCTTTAATCACAAATGATCTCAAAATTAATCCACTCGTCAAGATAGTTCCTGTAATTGAACATCGATGAATGTAGTCAAATTGTTGTGGTTATTCTGTCACAATTTGGTCGAAAATTTTGTTTTGTATTGACGTGTCACACAACTAGTCCTACAAATTTTATTGAATATTGTTATATGAATTAAAAATATTTAAATAATAATAAAAAAAGATGAGTGTTCATTATCTTCTTTCCCTCCCACCCGAGCAACACCCCGCAACATCCCGTATGGTCAATATTTTCACAAATTTATATATCAATATTTTCATCGATAATTATATTTTAAGCACATATCTCACTTCATCCGGTCACCCATATGAGAAAAGAAAATTCTAAAACGGCTATTCTCTCAAATATAATATTTCCCAGAAGAAAAATTATGGAGGGAAAGCTCCAGGGTCTCAAACTAAAGTCCAAGAATACGTACTAAACCAGCAAGCCCAATTAGTTTAATGAGTAATTATCAAAGCAAATGTTAACCACAATAATAATTTAATGTGAATTGAAACTTTTCTGTATCTGCTCAGTTACACTTAAGAATTTTTTCTGGATCACACGATGAATTGCTAGTAAATAAAAAATAATCATGTTTAAACATACATATTAGACTCCATCGCTACATTGACATTCTAATATGTCTGCATCTTCCCTATCATCCACAGAATGAACACTATAAAATCCATGATCATAGACGGATCCATATAGGGACCTGAGAGGTCCCGAGACCCTTCGGAAGTCTGAAGAAACACTTGTGATTGACCTTCAGGACCCTCCAACAATTTGAGCAGGTGCAGCGGAGAGGCTAGTTGCCTCCATGGATGTACATGCAGCAGTGCATATAAAGAAGAATAAGAGGTTTCTAATTTTTGTTTTAATCCTCCAAATCGTCGCAACCTCCCAACTTTAAACTCAAGTTACCCCATCCCCTAGCACCATTTGCCGTTCCACCACCTCTAGCTGCCTAATTTTATTTCTTCCAAATTCATCTAAGTTTTTGTTGGTTTTATTACCTTTGAGATTAATCTTGATTATTATTATTTTTAAAGCGGGACAACTAGTTGTAAGCCACGGTTATTCACCCTTTCTAGGGGCCTAGAAGACTCACAGTCAAGCAAACTCACTAACTTTGAGCCTCGAACCTGGGACCTCCCTATGTTTTGTACTTTATGAGTCGAAATCCGCGTCCTTACCACTTGGCCACTTGATGTGGTTGATTAATTTTGATTATTCAATGAACCAAATTCAATAAAAAAAATAATGCTATGGAACCAAAACTAGTCTAATATTTTTTTTTTTAAACTTTTATCTTGGGACCTCCCGATCTTAAAATCCTGGATCCGCCAATGTCCATGATCCTCGTGCATTTACAAGAAAGAAGGGTTTTGAACCTAAAAGATGCGTCTGCCGGAAAGAAAAACTAACTGCGAATTTCAGGACCGGAGTCGGACTCGTGGTTACTTCCCATTTGAGACGTTCTCTTTGTAACAACGAGAGGACTGTTCTCTTCCTCGTCAACGTCTACTTCGTGATTCTGCATCTGCCCTCCCTTGAAGACGGGATGCACGTAAGCATCCTTCAGATAGTTCAACAGATTCAGGTTCGGTTCCGTTGCCCGCTCGACTGTATCCTTCACCATTGCCTCCTGTTTGTTGCCAAACCAAGCACATTGAGAATATGGTATTGCTAAGAATACAGTATGGTAACGGCATTCAGAATGCGAGAGCCGCATATTTTTATGACTCTGTGTGTGTTAGTAAACGCATGAGAACTCAAGAAATGTGCCGTTATAGTAATGGAATTCTATACATAACTAACAAAACTTTGCACCGGAAACTTCAACCTAATTACCTGTAGTGGGAATTTTAGGAATGCTGATTCGAAACGCCCCTTGCAGACTCTATGGAACCAGATTGTCAAAATAGGTTGCGGGATGAGAATGAAAGTTGATTTCGCAACGCCTAATGTGCTAAACAGCCCCATTAGTAGAACTTGTGCTATGATTAGACCGATAATTACACGAAGATGCACTTGTGGCCAGAAGGCCGCACCACTCTCATATTTCTGGTCATAGACATTAATAATCTGGCAGCAAAAAGGAACCATTAGTGCCACCCTAACAATGAGCTAATCTGTATTTACTAATGGCAGAATGGCGGTATTAGATAGCGTACCTGATGGCGATAAACTACGTAGGCAAAAGCGAAGAATATGAGAATAAAAGGAAGTAGTATAGGTGTGACAACAGAATAAACAAGACCCAGCAGAAAATATAATTGTGTCCTAGGTTCGTTTGTGGCGAAATTCAAGGAACCGGGATCCGTTGCCTGCTCCCTATCTTGTTCTGTCTTAACCAGAAATGTGTTCTTGAGGTGAAACAAAATTAACGGCACCAATCTGAGGATTTCTGCAGCGATTCCACTCCAACCATCAACCATGACATAAGTGATGAAGAATGTACCTTTCATTGGGATGGACCTCCCAACAGTTTTTGTGAACCTGCAAAAGCAATCGTACATTTCCTGTCAGATTACCCCATCATCGATTAAGAAAGTATGAAAATTTCAAGTCTATACACAAAAATGCCATTGCCAACATTAATACTAAGTTGTGGAAAATTTTGACATTACTCGGTTGAGGGCTCGTTCATAAGTTTCTCAAGCTGCTGAAGTGCTGTTCCAGCAACAATGCTTCCTAGGAACACATTGATAAGTATGAACAAATGATACTTCGCTGCAGATCTCCTATCCAGATGTGAGAGTGATGTTAAGCCCTCAATCTTTGACATAAGCATAAGAATCATGGGAAGTATAGCAAGAAATATCTTTAATGCAATTCCCGGAAGAAACCCTTGGACAACAGACTTGACAGAACTTCTGCAAGAGAAAAACAAACGAAAAGAAGGGTTAGGATTTAAAACCCTTTGTATTAGTTAAAACCACATACAAGAAATCAATACTAATAGAATGAAACAGGGACACACATCTGAAGTAGTGGCTTCAAGAAAGGAAGGGCCTTCTGAATCCCCTCGATGTTAGCTAAAGATTGGACGAACGCAATTGGAATCATGAAGAAGAAAGTAAGGAAGAAAAAGGCAACACCCATGAGCAATTTTCGCACGTTGAGTTCAACATATGGAATTGCAAGGTTATTCCAATAGATGTCGCGTGGCTCAGGAGCCCACTCCGTCAACCAGATGGTAGGATTACTTGACTGCTGAGTTTGAGCACACACAGCTGCTCCCCATCGCGTTTTGAATGAAACAAATGCTGCAGGCATTATGGCATCAGGATCACTTATAACCTTTTCTCGTTCTTGCTTTTCCTGCATGAAATCTACATTATTATGCATCTAGAACGCACAAACAAAACAAACACAGACTGTCCAACATATCATTGTGTGACAAGAAAGAAAACATGCTCCTTAAAAATACTCACTTCTTCGACCAACTTCTTGATCGTATCATTGTAGTAATCAATCGCGTCGACTCTATCTCCCCATAGGCCCAAGAAACCTGTCTAATGGGATATGAGATGACGAACTCAACGGAATCAAAACATTAACAAATGACTCTCACAAGAACATATAAATCAAGTTACGCAAAAAAGGAAACCTTTGTAGTAGGCTTTGTCTTGGGATTTCTCTCAAACTTGTTTTGGTAGTACACAAGCCAATTTTTCGTACTCTTCTTCTTGTCGACCACCTGTGCAAGTTTATTTGCATTGTATACAACCTACAAGCATTTAAAGTAGCACAATTGACTTCAATGTAGGTTTATAGTTTAATATATGTACTTTAAATTTGTTTTTCAGTAGTATATATAGCTGATTCCTTCGCAAATCAAACTAGCAAAACTAACCAAGTTCAGCAAGTGGCTTACTTGATGTGTAAGATAGTGATCGGGATGGTTTACACAGAAAAAATGTTCGATATGCTCACTGACTGATTCATCAGGATCTGGGGGTACATTCCTCACAAGAACCTGTTAGGGACGTAGAGTTAATGTAAACAATTGCAAACTAAAAAACTAACCCAGCTATGAGTAAACAGATGCCTCAAAGTATAAAAACAGATAACTGAAAAAACAAAACAGACCACCATGGGGATGCCTCACCGTGAACTGATCAGGACGACGCTTTTCAGATGCTAAAAATTGAAGCCGTTTAGTAGCCACTGTCTTGTACTCATGGTATAAAACAAAGCATGTCCAAAAGGTAAATACATAAGACATCACGAGATGTGCGAAAAACCTATAAGACCGAAAACAAAAGAGAAGTCAGATTTGGATTGTATAAAAGTAATGAACTTCTGAGAGCAGAAAAACTATGGTAACACTAAGTATTAAGGTCATCTCTTGTCACTCCTGTCTACTATACAAAAAAACTTGGGTCGTGAGACCACAACGTCTGTAGGGTACCTCTCACAAAGAAGAAGAAAACATGGGGAAATGGAAATGGAGACGAAAAACTTACTTGGGAGATCCAGTAGGAATATTGGATATTGAGAGTTTATCAATGTCGCTGAATACTACTTCACGGCTCCTTTCCAGCGTATTGCTCATATAATTGACAGGCACCAAAACACCAAGTGCAAGCGCGGTTATGGGGACGAATATCTTCAAGCTGTGTGAAATGAGTATCATTAAGTTATTTACTGAGTTAATTAGCAAGAGTTTCGAAAACATGTAACATGTTATGTGCACTCCGAGTGTTTTAACACGATGTGTTCTGAACCATCTAACTCTTACTCTAGTGGTACCTCTCTTCACCGTTGGAAGAGGTCTAACTTCAAATAATACGAAATTTTCCTCTCACGACTTTGTTGAATTTCAAATGGGATTCAGTAATTCTGTGACAAACAACGGACTAAAGAAA